GGGACCATTCCGTTATCATCAGGATTCAGGGCATAGGTAAGATAATCTTTTAATTTTGGTTCTAAAACACATTTCAAAAAGTACTATTTAAAATTATCAAGTTTAATACTACTAGTATGTAGTAGTACATTTCACTCAAGACAAAAAGACGACATTTTGGTTTTTTTTTAAAAACCAATGATTTAGAGTTCAAAATATCCATCTAATACTACTATTCTAAAATTACCGATCGCCACGTAACTGTTAAGTAATCAAATAAAATCCATGAGACTTTTTAGATTTGATTGTCTGTCTTCTCCGCGTGGAGGAGAGAGCTATTACACAAACAAAAAGTTCAGCTGCATGTGAACTACGTAATGTCCGTCAATTTTTCTTCTTCGCCAATTTTTCGCTAATAATTAGATTATCTACACGAATGATTGAACATAACATATGTGCATTATCATTTTATTTATGTAAATACATTGGCAGATTCTACTTTTTAGTAACTTTCTTTCCAAAACTAATAGGCAAAAAAAAAACTATCAAAAAGAAAAAATTATCTAAATGTTTTAGTCTTTTTAGTAACTTTCTTTCTTAACACTCTCTTCAATTATAGTGTTTTTCGTTGTTTGATCACTAAATTATGCTATTCCACTATTCATTTTACACACAAATCAAATCCAAAATTGTTTCGTTTTAATGCATTTTCAATTTTTTTTTTTTTTTGGATATCTAACAACTAAACTTCTTAATCAACTTTGTTGGTTCAAAATAGATCGACTCGGATCAAAATCTATATACTGAACTACAGGTTTTATTGTCAATTTGAATTTAATGAAGCAAGCTTACCGTGGGGAAAAAACTGTCTACAAAGAGAACCGAACCATTTAACCAAAAACAAAAAGAAAATAATAGATGACCGATCCATGGAACTGAACTACGTAAGACCAATCGCAATGGTGACTTTTAGAAATATAATGTAGTGTTATTAAGAATATAACTCAATAAATAAATTATGAGTACTGTTTTATATTTAAGACCAAAGTCTTAATTATGATTCTTTTTTAGTTAAGAACAGACACGTGGCAGATTATAAGTAGATAGGAAAAATTGACAAAAAAGTTTTTATTTTCTTTTTTATGTTTCTGTTTTCCTCTATCTCTCTAATCGGTTGAGTTATGTTCGGTTTGCTGAATCGAATGATTACTCGTATTTTTTTATAAAAAAAACAAATTTTACCAAAATATACTAAATTATACTGAATCAAATATTCAAACTATCCGAAAATACCTAAAAATATCCGAAATAATCCTAATTTACCCGAAATTAACCGAATTTAACCTAATTTAAATAAAAGAATTAAAAATTTGGATAGTTTCAGATAAGAAAATTAATATCTAAACTATCCGATATCCGAACCGAACTGAACCGATTTAAATTTCGGTTATTTTTGGTAAAATTTCAGTAATCCAAACTATCTGATTATCCAAATTATCCGATCTAAATTATCTGAAGTATCTGAAGTCCCATGCCTAGCAACAAGCACTGAAATTCCAAAGGAGAAGGTTTCTCAACAAGCACTAAATTGCATTTCTATAATTTATATGTTTTTATGTATTACATTTGTGAAAATATATTATGATTAAAAATTTGTTAAAATAAGTTTTTACATAAATTTATTAAAATAATATTTTTTAAAGATATTTATCAAAGTATCTTTATTGTATACTTAAAAACAACAAAATTTTGCAAAGTGTCTTTTTATATATAAGTACATAAAATATTAATAATTAATCATTAAAACCCATTCTATTACCATTGGGATTGGTCTAAGTGAACCGGACCGGATCCTCACATCTCCATCCCGAGTTTTGACTTACACACACATACCCGTGATTGGTGGACAGTACATCGGCGCGTGGCCTTCACTCTCCCTCCCACTTTCTTCATCCTCTCCTCCTCCTTCCATTATAATCTGAAGCCTCCCCTCTAGCTCACTCTCTCTCTTCTCTAGCGCCCCAAAAACCTCATTCCTCTCTCTACTTCTCTTCCGCTACAACAATGGCGGAACAATCGCCGCCACTCAAATCTCTCTCCCTCCTCCTCTTCTTCTTCACTCTGCTCGCCTCCACCGCCGAATCTCGCTTAACCACCGACTTCTACTCCAAATCATGCCCTAGATTCCTCGACATCGTCCGCGACACAATCTCCAACAAGCAAATCACGAACCCAACCACCGCAGCCGCCGTCATCCGCATCTTCTTCCACGACTGTTTCCCCAACGGCTGCGACGCCTCCGTCCTCATCTCCTCCACCGCCTTCAACACCGCGGAACGCGACTCCTCAATCAACCTCTCCCTCCCCGGCGACGGATTCGACGTCATCATCAGGGCCAAAACCGCGCTCGAGCTCGCCTGCCCAAACACAGTCTCCTGCGCCGACATCATCTCCGTCGCGACCCGTGACCTCCTCGTCACCGTCGGTGGTCCTTACTACCCCGTCTTCCTCGGCCGCCGCGACTCGCGAATCTCGAAATCGTCTCTCCTCGCCGACCTCCTCCCTCTCCCGTCTTCTCCGATCTCGAAGATCATCCACCAATTCGAGTCCAGAGGGTTCACCGTTCAGGAAATGGTCGCTCTCAGTGGGGCCCATTCCATTGGATTCTCTCACTGTAAAGAGTTCGTGGACCGGGTCGCCCGTAACAGTACCGGGTATAACCCGAGATTCGCGGCCGCGTTGAAGAAAGCCTGCGTTAATTACCCGAAAGACCCGACGATCTCTGTCTTCAACGACATCAATACCCCGAACGTATTCGACAATATGTATTACAAGAACATCCCCAAGGGTCTCGGGTTACTCGAATCGGATCATGGGTTATACTCCGACCCGAGAACCAGACCTTTTGTTGATCTTTACGCTAGAGATCAAGACCAGTTCTTTAAAGACTTCGCTAGAGCTATGCAGAAGTTGAGCCTTTACGGTGTACAGACTGGTCGACGGGGAGAGATCCGGCGAAGGTGCGACGCGGTTAACTAAGTTTTTGTTTCTTTCTATTTATAATTTTTTTCGGATTATATTTGGGGAACAATGTGAGATTTGAGACATCTTTTGAGTAATTTTGCTCATATGTTTTTCTGTAATTTAAAACACGTATAATCATCTTATATGAATGATCGTTTTACTTTGGTACAAAAAAGTATTAACCTTTGTGAAGAGATTGTATATGATTCTGTAAAACGGAAGCTTCTGTATTTGAGTGTTGGTTAAGATGATCACACGGTCAGTGAGAGAGTAAACCAAGCTGAACCAAATCACCAATTAGTGGTATAGTTTGGTAGTTAATCTTGTCTCTTGAGGTAGAATCATGAACGAAGTGATGATGAAGATAATCTGATTAAACATTGGGTTCTGAGAAATTTGTATTTTTATTTCGTGTTACATTTCATGTTCTTGCGACCTATGAAACCTGTGTGCATTGGGAAACCTGGGTCAGTTACGAATAGCTTGTATTTTCTTATATTTGTATTATTTTTTTTTCTTTTGTGTTTGTTTTCAACTTCTTCTCTATAGTAAAGAAGAACAACTGTATGTCATGTCATTATTATTGGATGCAAAATGTCATGAAAAGACAAAAAAAATAACGGGTAAAAGTTAAAATCACTCATTACGAGAGACGACAACATCCTGTAGAACGATGTATCCATATTTTCCTAGACTATTGTTTTCACCTAACAATGCTTAAACATAAAATGTCTTCATGCTTAAACATATTTTATATAACGATCCATAAGTATTGCATTACGAAAGAAAGTCACAAAGATAGTTTTTCTTCCTCCATAAAATAGGGAAAATGTAAATATTAGTTTTTCTTTTTAAGGATTCAAATAAGATAGGACCCAAAATGGGCCTAGAAACATCTAAACCGCGTTTCGTCTAAAATAAATTAAAGTTTTCCACTCTAAATTAAAAAAAAAAAGGAAAATCCAGATAAGGAAAATAAAAACGAGAATTGTCAAGCAGAGGAAGAAACCAATTTGGTGGATGCTGGCTTTGCCTCCAAGTCAGACACAACCTCTATATATATATCTCTCTCTATACATTCGTATCGTCTTTCATAATCAAGAACAAACCAAATCCCAGGAGAGGAAGAAGAAGAAGAAGAAGCCATGGTAGGAGGAGGAACAGAAGCGTTTCCTGATCTTGGAGAGCATTGTCAAAACCCTGATTGCAAACTCCTCGATTTTCTCCCTTTTACTTGTGATGGCTGCAAATTGGTAAACTTTTAACGGAAAATCTCAGCTTTTGCTTTTTTTTTTGTTTGTTCTTGAAGAAGAATCTCAATAAAAAAATTATCTGTGTGCAGGTGTTTTGTTTGGAGCATAGATCATACAAATCTCACGATTGTCCGAAATCTGACCACGGAAGCAGAACAGTTTCCATCTGTGAAACATGTTCTACAGCGATCGAAACAACTGGTTTCGACGAGGAAGGAATCAAATCTCTGCTTGAGAAACACGAAAGATCTGGAGATTGTGACCCGAAGAAGAAGAAGAAACCAATCTGTCCTGTAAAGCGTTGCAAAGAGATTCTGACTTTCGCGAACAACCTTACTTGCAAAGATTGTGGGGTCAAGTTCTGTCTGAAACACAGGTTTCCGACAGATCATGTCTGTAAGAAGAAGACGATTACTATTAACTCAGGAACAACAAGCTCGAGATGGAATGACAAGTTTATGGAAGCATTGCGTTTGAGAAACGAGAAAGGATGTGGAAGAGAAACTTCTGTTTCATCAAGTTCTCCATCAATTAGATCCTTCTAGCTTCTTTTTCTTCTCTTTTCTTTCCTTGTAACAGTTTGCTTCAACCAAATCCTTTTTTAAGTTTCTCATATATTCTCCATTGTTTTCATGAGCATTTTCATTGTGTAATAGTATTGCTTGAAAGAAGGAAGAAGATAATTGGTGTAATCGATATATACCAATGAATATACAAAGTGATGATTTGATGTTAAACTCTCTCTCACATATTAGCAGTGGTTTCCTTTATTTCCTCTGATGTAATAGTCTGCAAGACACAAAGTCATCAATATGATTAATGCTGTGTTTAGTATTACTATGAACACAAGTTGAGTTTTAAGGGTTTTTAACCTGATCTTTGCCAGCGAAATCGTTGTCAGGAGTTAAGAAAAGCATACAATGGCACTCCTTTCTGTTTGAACAAAAGAATCGATAAAAGTTTAGTTACAGGGGGTGCAAATACACAAGCATTATCTAAATTAGCCGTTTTGCATTTACAGATTTTTTATCACAAAGACATCATCTTTCTCTAATTAAACAACAAGGCACAGGTTCCCTATCCGATCAGTATGAATTATTCAACCAACTTCTATCTAAATACTCCGCTTTGATTCTTGCTGCAGCAATGCAAGATTCTCTCTTTAACCCAAACAATCACCAGATAAACATAAGCTTAGTTTTCTTCCTCTTTAACATGTTCAAGTTTCTACCTTTCTCTCATTGGAACACAAGGGCAATTCCAAAATCCTTGTCCAACCTCAGCAGCTTTATCATCATAGTGTCTGCAACATAGAAAAAAAAAACAAATCAGACTTTTTTATTGTTTTCATTTACAAATAAGAGAATGCAAATGCTTCTTTAAGAACATGTGAGTTTTCACCTGCAAGGGCAAAGTGGTGCACCATATGAATCTTTATGCTCAGCCAAGCCCTGTCAAAACAAACCAGTTCTAGCCATTTTCAACACTTTGTATATACAAAAACTCAATTTCATCAACAAGATTCCGACCAAACAAACAGTTTCTAATAGTTTTGGTCCAATGTGGGAGTTTTTACCTTAATCACAACAGAGGTAACTCCTTTATCAACACAGAAGTAAGTTCCTGACCTACGAGCGTATTGCTCGGAGAATTTCCTCATGATGTCAACAGATTTCTCCGTGGGCTCCGCTGCAACATACGATGACATATACCCAATATCAACTTTTGCTAAATTAGAGAATTAGCACAACCAAAAAAGAAGATGGAGAAGAAAAAGGATTGAAATTTACATTTCGCTCGGATAATAGAGCTGCGTCTCGATGAGGTTCTGTAAGAGGGAAGTGAAACGCAAGAAGCGCAACCGAAGCTACTAGAAACAGCTTGAAGATTCATCGAGTTTTTGGTCTTGGAGAAACGAAACTAAAAACGAGAGTTATCTGGGTTTTTTTTTCTCGCAATCTACAACACAAAGCGGTCTCCTTTGAATAAACTTGAAAACATGATGAAGCATTGATCCAGAAACGAACGCTAGCCACTCAGATCAACTTCGTCAACCTCTAACTGAGGTAGAGACTTTGAAAGAATCTGTAGATTTACAAACCGGAAGTTAACCGACCCCACCAAACTATTGTCTCCTTCTTTCTGCCACGTCACTATCTCTCTCTGTTTGGTACTCTTTTCTTCTTTGTTTTTCACTCTGTTCTTTCTCTGTTTATGCAGTACTCGCTTTGGGTACAAAGGAAATGAACATTGAACTTTATGGATTAGGAGAAAAGAGAGTATCTTTATATGCATTTAGTGATAAGCGTTTGAATGATTATGATTAGTATATATATACCAACCTATGCAAATTAAGTTAGTAAGCCAAATCCATACTCTGACATTTAGATGCAGAAAATTGTATCTATTAATAAGAGCAAAATACTCAAAATAAACCCAAACACAATCCTACAACAAAGAAACTAAACAAGACTTAGGAAAAATTATAGAATTCTAAGTAAAGTCCTCTCACCTTTCTCATGATGGTAAGGAAGGGATCTGATAAAGCCAACGCGGAAACACAAACGTGGAAAAGTACGGTTCGAGTTCCTCCGGGTCCCACTCTCCATCAAAACTCAGAGTACGACCGTCGCTGCTACGTTCCAGGTTGTTGTGAAGCCCAAACTTGCCTTTGTGCACGTGAGTAGATGCAAGACATTTATGCTTCTTGCTCCAAAAGTACATTGTATTAGCATCAAAAGGGTTTATTTCCATCGGAAAGTATTCGAACCCGGTCCTGATACAAGCAGGAGATATCGTAGATACTTGCTGCCATTCACCAGTCTCTAGCCTTCGCACACATAACATAGGCTCCCAACTTCCATCGTCATCGTCGCTCTCTTCTTTGACTATGCTCATATACATGAGAAACCCTTGAGAAGCTGTGAAAGCTCTTCTGAAATTCGTTTCTTTCCCCGAGTCAGGGAAAGGTATAACGCTGCACCGATCAGATTCCGCGCCAGTAGCGTAGAAATCATGGGATACAACAACATCGGAGCCGAGCCAGTAAAGGTTTCCGTTCAAGCTAAGAGGTGGTTCGTGTTCAACACCATTTGTCAGAGGGAGATGAGTACGGAGAGTCATGAAACTCCACAGTTTTGTCTCGGATGAGTATATAAGTAAACTTAGGGCTCTGGTCACGATGCCACTCGTATCATGCATCAGAACAGCTTTGTAACCTAAAACGACGTTGTTTTCAATGCGTGTGACGAGTCCAGCGAGCTCGAATGATTCACCTGAAGGAATATGAGGGAGAGGAGGGAGATCGACGCATTGTCGTGACACCGGATTAGCCACGTAGTAGGTTAGATTTTCGGAGATGGATATCAGTTTGATCAGAATCAATCCGACATCCGTCTAGGCCACGACTCTAACCTTTTGTTTCGGAAGCTAACATGGTCTGTTTTGATCTCTCTGTTTCTTGAACCTGTCTGTAAGGAAAGAGGAGATGTAAGAGCCAAGAGATCGTTGGAGACCCCAGATCTCGCATCCGTAGAGAGCAAGGACTTCTTTCTTGGAATCCCTGCACATGAGCGACCACGAAGAATGCGAGTTTTGATGACGAGAAAGGAAAAGCTCGCGGAGAAACGGAGATTCGACGATTGTTTTCAATCGCTTGCAGACCAGTTTTAGAGTGGTGATGTTCTTAAGCGGTAGTCTCACGAGTATGTTTTCCCATAGGTCATCGGTGAGGAAGTTCACTTTTGGAGAAGTCGTCTTCTTTGTCTCCTCCATTCGAATAGGGACGGATCAGGTTAGGGTTTACTCTGTATCAATATATCTGACCTAAGTCATCAATATTTATACTCATTGTCATCAGTAAACATATAAATAGAAAATATTATATATAAGTTATTTTAAAATTAGGAACGCTTTATCAAAAACTCATATTGCGACTTAATACAATTATTGATAAAAATAATTAGCAATGTGCTGCTCATTGCGACTTAACACAATTATTTTTCTATCTCAACTATACAAATTAAGTAACCAAACACACTATTCCTAAGACTTCTTCACTTTTGGGTAAAGAAATCAACAGTGATTAGAGAAAAACAAAAGTAAGAAGCAGCAAGTAAAGTAGTCTCTGAGAACATCTATAGAACACTTGTCAGCGTGGCGGGCGAGGGATCCGATACAGCCACCGAGGAAGAACAAACATGGAAAAACGAGATTTCTCTGTGTCCATCTCTCGATTGCATTGAACAGAGCTCAGAGTCTGACCATTGCTGCTACATTCCAGCTCATTGTGAAGCTCAAAATTCCCATTGCGCAAGCTTACAGATGCCAAACATTCTTGCGTTTCGCTCCACAAGTAAACTGTATTACCATCAAAAGGGTTTATCGCCAGCGGAAAATAATCGAAACCGGTCATTTCAGAAACTAGTTCCCACTCGCCGACCTTTAGCAATAGCCTCCACACACTAAACTTATGATCCACGCTTCCATCATCTTTGACTTGGGAGATTATGTTCATATACATGAGACTTCCTCCAGAGGTTGTGCAAGACCTTTTGAACTTTGGTTATTTTTCTGAGTCAGGGAAAGGTATGACTCGGCACTGATGATCAGAACCGTAGAAATCGTAGGATACAACAACATCTTGATAGTCTAGATTGAGGCCGAGCCAGTGGAGATTTCCGTTCAAGCTAATGGGGTCAAGATCATTGAGAGTGATCAGAGGGAGGGGATGTTGGAGAACGTTGGAAGTCCACAAGCCTGTCTCTGAAGAATATGTAGTGAGAGCTATGTTCTCGTCGTGCATTGTTGTGATCAGAACAACTTTGTAGCCCAAAACGACTCCGTTTTCTGTTCGCGTGACGAGTCTCGCGCGGTTGAGTAATACTTCTGATTCAAGAAACCCTACCCCTAGAAGAAGAATAGGTGGAGGAGGGATTTTGATGCGTTGTTTTGAAATCGGATTAGCTACGTAATAGGTTCGATCTGTGGGGTAAGTCTTCACGTAGAGCAAAACCAGTCCGGTGTCGGTGTAAGACAGGACTTCACACTCTTGTTCTCGATGCCAGATTCTAGGTTTCTTTTTTCGGGACTTCAATCTCGAGGCAGTGATGAAAGAGGAGACGTAGGAGCCAAGAGATCGTTCAAGTCCCCAAACCTCGCATCCGTAGTGAGCCACGACTTCTTTCGATGTATCTCTGCACATGAGAGACCATGAAGAATGTGAGTCTTGATGATGAGACAGAAAAATATTTCGGAAAAACGGTGATTCCAAGATCGATTTCCATTGCTTGCAGACTAATTTTGAAGTGGCGATGGCTATTAGTGGTAGTCTCGCCAGTATAATCTCCCATAGATCCCCTGTGAAGAAATTCATCTTCCTATTTCTTTCTTTAACTTCTGTTGCGGTTTTGGGATTAGGGTTTACTATATTTATCATCAATACATCTGTATGTCTATAAAAATATATAATCCCTTTTTTCCTTTAATCTAAGGAAATTTTGGAAGTTTGTTACGAAATAGTAAATTCATGATTTCGGAAGAAAAAAAAAAGTACTCATATTAAACGAAATAAACCAGACACCATTCTACTACATTATATATGTTCACTATGTTTTCCTCTGTTATGTTCTTTGCTCTCCTCTGATTTTCTTTAACTATGTTCTGACTTTGCTATTATCTAGAAGACTAGAACTCTTTTTAGGTACAAATGAAGATAACTTTTAACTATATGGATTAGGTGAAAAGATAGTATCATAAACTGAACCTGGTGATATATATAATGAGTGTTTGACAAAAAGAAAATTAAAGTTCAATATACCAAGCAAATTGTACAGTACTTAACCAATCCAAACTCTACATTTAATTTAGATGCAGAAACAAAAGCGATATGTGGTCCTAAATTGTTATCCTTAACAATCATCAAACAATCGAAATTTACAAATATCTTAATGCCACACCGATCTTCTTCCCCCTCTTAATTAGACCAAAATACTCAAATACACCAAAAACCATCCTACTACTTGTACCTCGTTCTTCTTGCATTAGAAGCTCCTCTCACCGTGCTCCTGACGGCGAGGAAGCGATCCGATACAGCCAACAAAACGTGGACAAGTGTGGTGAAATAAAGATTGCCTTCCTTCATCATCAAGCAACCATTTTCTTCCTCTTTTATTACACAAACCAAACACCATACTACAACTTCTTCCTCTTGCATAAGCAACATAAAAAAGAAGAAGAAACAATTTAAACTCTCCTCACCGTGTTCGGGAACTGATGCAGCCACTGTGGGAGAACGAATGAGGAAAAGTGTGATTCTAAAATGAATTCTATATCTCTCGGTCCATCAACAGCAAACTCTTCGTGGAGCACAAAGTTCCCATTGTCTAAGTTGATAGATAACAAACATTGGTGCATCCGGTTCACTCTCAAAAAGTAGACTGTTTTATCATCAAAAGGGTTTATTCCCAACGGAGTATGAGCAAAACCGTCCTCCATAAAAGCCGTGGAGGTTTCAGATACTAGTTGCCATCCTTCGCTCTTTAGCTTCCATACACATAACTTATCCACTAGACTTACAGAGACTATGTTCATATACATGAGAGATCCTTGACAAGTCGTGAGAGCTCTTCTGAACTTTGGAGTTTTCTCTAAATCAGGGAAAGGCGTAACACGGCATCGATCAGAACCCGTGGCGTAGAAATCGACGGACACGACGAAATCTTTGTACTCGAGATTGTGAGCGAGCCAGTGAAGCTTCCCGTTCAAGCTAACGGGGTTGTTGAACTCCTGAGAGACGAACGTGAAAGGGAAACGAACAGCTTCGAGACTCCACGAGCCGGTCTCTGATGAATATATCAAGAAACCACTAAAGTTCGCTTTTAAGAGAACAACCTTGTAACCCAAAACGACGCCGTCCTCGGTTCTTGTCGCGATTCCCAAGATCCAGAAACGTTCCTCTAGAAAACCATGAGTAAGGATCTCTGCGCATTGCCTTGTAACAGGATTAGCCACGAAGAAAGATTGAGTCGTCACGACATGAATCAAAACCAATCCAACATCCGTGTAAGCCACGACTCTACCTTGTCGGTTCTCGAACTTTTCAGCTAGGAAAGAATAGATGTGAGAACCGAGAGAACGTGTCAGACACCAGTTGTCTGATCCGTAATGAGCCATCGTCTCTGTCTCACAGCCTCTACACATGAAAGACCATGACGAAGAATGCGAGTTTCGGTGCAGTGACATGAAAATATCTCGGAAAAACGGAGACTCGACGAGCGATTTCCACTGCTTGCAAACGAATTTGGAGGTGATGATGCTCTTTAGTGGTAATCTCGCTAGTATCATCGCAAACAGCTCCTCTGGGAGCGAATCCATTTCCTTTTTGATGGGTTTCTTAATCAATTGGATTGGTGGTAATCTCGCTAGCATAATCGCCCATTGATCCTCTGTTAAGAGATCCATTTTCTCTGTTTCAATGGGATTAGGGTTTCTTTTTTGTGTGTGTTTGGTGAAGTTTGTACTTTTCTCCGTCTTGACTCTTGAGTCACTTGACTGGGCTTTGCATTTAGTGGGCCTGTCACATGGGTTTCATGGTTTTGGGCTTGTTGATACAATTAATGAGTTAATAGGGAGAAAAGAAAGAGATTATGAACTGCTTCCTGTTGAAACAAAAGGCTAAAGTTGAAACAATTAAGGATTAGTATTTTTACATCTATTGGTATTTTCATTTTTCTTCCTCAAGTTTCAATTTTGAGAAAAGGCCGTTCAAAAGATAATAATGAAAGGTGCAAGAAGCAAAGCTAAATAATTGTCTGGTAATTCCACAAAGATCCGACACCTTTAAACAGAGTCATTAAACAAAATCAAGCAATGTATTTCCGATTTATGTACATAAAAAAAAACAAATTTTTTTAACAAAAAAATAATAGAATCCATGAGATTATGTAGGGAAAAAAAAAAGAATTGAATGAATCAAAGAATTTCTAACTCTTGGTTGTATTGAAGATACTGTCTCTGTGACTTGTGAAGATCATAAGGAGCCCATAGATAATCAACTGGACAAGGCTTACCATCATCAAGCCTCACCCATGGCTTCCCTTTCCCACTCCAATGTAACAAACTCACCGGACCAGGGTGCAACGATCTGCAGCTACTCACGACGTTGTCTCCACCTAGACCGTGCTGGTTCCATTGGTGATCAATCGCTTCAATCTCGCCTGAAAACACCAGAAGAAAAGGCGGCAAAGAACCCAACTCGTAGATCCTCTCTTCTCTCTGAATCTTCATCCAATCTTCGATCTTTCTCGTGTAGTCTCCTTCTCTCCATCTCTCCAAGTCGATCACCATCACTCCCGTGTTGAAATAGCAGGGAGTTTTGGAATCGAAGACTCGAGAGAGTTTTCGATCTGACCAGAAACGATCTGAGAAGTATTTGGTGAAATTGGCGTGGCAATACTCTGGCGCGCCGATTGTTCTTGACCCGGATAGAGAAATCTTCCATAGTTTCTGGATATCGTCGACCACGATCACATCCGAGTCGAGATAGATCACTCGTTGAACACACGACGAGATAATCTCGGACAAGTAGCTTCTTGCGTAGTTCAAGGGACTATCGAGAGCTTGTCGTATAGACGAAGAGATTAGATTCTTGACGATGGTTTCGTCAAAGGTGTAGACTTTGAAACTCAGGGAAGGGAAAACAGAGGAGAGGGTCTTTGCGAGCAGACCGTGGTTCGAGCCCGAAGCGATGAAGTGGAAGAAGATGTTTTGAGGGCAAGAGGTGTGTTTGAGAATGGAGTGGACTGCAGAAACCGTGCCACGTAAGTAAGCTGGGTCAAGGGTCATGGCTACATGAACAGCTGAAGGATCACAAGCTAATAAGAGTCTGTTTTTCGCTAAAACAGAGCATTCGGGTCCGTTTTGGTATGCCGGAGCCTCCATGAAATCTGAAGATGCATCGTCGAATGATAATCTTTCATCTGCGAACAATCGAATCGATCCGACGGTGAAGAAAGCTGTGGAGATTATCACGAAGATTATTAGTCTTGAGACTAATCTAGAACTAGACATCATCAGAGAGAACGGATCGGGGTTGGAGACTGGTTAAGATCTCAAGCACGGCTCTTTTTTAAGGTATTGAATTTTGAGTTTCTGAAATTTATGGAGAGAGAGAGAGAGAGAGAGGTCGGAGAAGAAGACGAAGACGAAGACGAAGACAAGAAATGAAACGCGGTTTTGTAAAGAAAAGGAAACACGGTCAAATGACGTTTGTTTGAAACTCGTTTCTTTATTGTCACTGTCAATGTTCTTTTTGTAGATATTTTTTTTTTTCTTTCTAGAACAAATTAATTTGAGACAAACAGGGAAATATACAAAGTAATTAACGAACATTCAATTTGAAACACGGCAAGAAAGAAAGTACATTCGTTAATATTTGTTCATTGTATGTAGGAGACATTTATGAGTTATGACCAAGAAAACATTGAAGGTAGATACGTTAATTTATTTGATTAATTAGTGATATCCATTTTTACATATTCACACCATCTAGTTAAGAATATCAACATATTTATTGGCATGATAAAGCCGTTCAATATTCATATACAAAAGATTTAGAATTTATTACTATTTATAATCTTGGATTTGAATTTTAACCAATAATTAATTAAATGAATACGCATGTAAATGTAGACAATTACACGCATAGGGCATAACTGTTGCATATAAAAGGAAAGCATGTTAGGTTGTAGGAATCCAGCATTTTAGAATATGGGTTGATAATGGTCCAATGAACACATGGGTCCATGTGCTTTTCTACTTATTTTGATACATATAAAACCTTTTTTTTTTATAATATATAATTATTGACTGACGCCCAAAAGACAAATAATATATAATAAATGGTCAGCTCACATTCATTGGATACAATGCTCTTTGTATCGCTAATTTAAATGCTTGTATTTTACTGTAATAAGCATGTGAATATACCTCGTGTAGATGGATTTCATTTGCAGGTTTTCACCCTTTCCTATGACTAGAATTTGTTGTTTCCTTAATTAGAGTTTTTATTATTACTTTTCTCGGATACTAATAGGGAATGATAGCATCATGCCAAACAAATATAATTATTGGAATTTTCACTTTTAAAAACTAACACATTAGTTTCTTTTCGGAGGCACTTTGGGTTGTACGTAGTTTAGGCGTGGGCTAAGATCACTAAAACACGTTATCGAAACAAATGTGTTTCGTAAGTCTCATCGTGCACTTGGCTCACATTAGATACTAAAGTGTTGAATGCAAGTCACTCTCGCTTTTGCCGAATACGAATCCTTTTAAGATAATGTTGAGTGTTGACGCTAGAGGTATCAGTTTCCGAAAGGTCCCATGTGGATATCGCACCCACGTACAGTAACATGAATGGCTTGTATTTGGTATTCAAAAGTTAACACCAACAATTGTGATAAAGAATATTTCAAATACTCGAACACTTTTGAAAGGGAAAAATGATTGAGAAGGTGTATTTACAGTTTTTTAATCGAAGACATTTAATAGTACAGAGTTGTTTTGTTGCTCCAACATCTCTTCTTGATAACAAAAATCTATGCTATTATCTTGTGTATACTGAAAAGCAGCCATTACCCTTTTCACTTGTTTTTATTACTGGTGTTGTGTTAATCATGCGACTGCTTTTTTTTATAAACTTGATTTAAAAATAAAGTTCACATTTTGTTTTGCAATTGTTCTTTAAAACAAAATGGACAAAACTAAAATAAAACATAGTGTTATGTTTGAATACAGCTGTATGTGCGGCTGTGGGCTGGCAATATCATTATTCTTTGTCAGGAGTATATTATATACATCTCACTTTGGAATTATGTTTACCTAATTACAAAACTCGGTTCCTAACATTACCAATTTTAGCTACTTCTTAATTAGAAACTAGAAGAAACTCGATTAAAAGAAAGTTTTGGTACGTCTGCTACGAGTTGCTTTCAATAGAATCAAAGCTGGTTAAATCTGTATTAATAAAATTATCTCGATAAGAAAACATGTGTTTTGTTTGTATTGTGATTTCGAATATGCATACTCACTAACTCATAGCTAGTATCTTTTTGCATATAATGTAAAAGAAATTAAGCTCAGCTTCCTGAATAGAGAAGAAGATGCTTCAATTATTGAATTCAATTATATTTTTATTAGAAGGGAATTAAATTTTTTGTTATTATAAAGATTTGGTCTAGCATGATGAAATTTTCAATAATATCAAACCGACAATCGTTTATTAAAGTTATATCGAAATGAATTTCATAGGTCGTGCGTAGAATACTAAAAAGACTTCTTCTTCTATAATAACGTTGGCATAGCTTTTTGGATAAAGGATTTTCTATTTAAACCGCATAAAAGTAGTAGTACTACAAGCTAATGACTATATATAAAAGAAGAGAAGTCTTTTAAAAAAACAACTAAGCACTTAAGCTTACATTGAAATTAGTTTAAGAATATGGAGAAAGTAAACGAGGAGAACCATAGATGGTTTAATTAGCCATTGCCTTTTGCGTCGATTCCCTCGTCTATTAACTCTTGTCAAAATCATTTTATTTGAACCTTTGTGAGTCGGCTTTGATAGGTCTCTTTCCTCGGCTCTGCTGTGAGCACTGAATCATTTTACTACTACACATTCTTTCTCAATTTTCACATTCATACTTAATGTAGTTTCTCCTGCATTAGGCAGATATGTATTCAAGTCCAAAGATGGACGTGGGAAATATTATGTTGCTCATTCAGAATAAGAGATGAGGCTGAAACTGTTGAAAATGTGGATTAGTAAACCTAAAATGTTTATACCATATTTTAGGTTATAGGTTTACTAATCCACATTCGTGGGCCAAACCTTTTGCTTATTATACCAAATATGTTTATTAGTAAACCTAAAACCGATCTTATCTAAACCGAACCGAAAAAAATCATATCATATCGAATATTTGAGCTGAGTCAATGAGTTTAAACAAAGATGGTAAGTGATAACATCTTTACTATATACAGAAAACAAAAACAAAACTTTAAGCGGAGGAATTTTTGGTTCGTTTTTTTAGGGTTTCAGGCAATGTGGATAGGTTTTGTACAATTCTGCTATCTATATGAAGGCAAGGCGGGTTTGTGATGGCAACGGGCTTGTGGCTGTTATTGCCAGCGTTTAAACGGCGCAATATGTTTGAGAGGGCCCTTGAAGAGTACGTGTCCATAGGCGAGGTTGTAGCCGAGATCAGGAAGAGCATGACCGCGCGTCTTGAGTGATCTCTGTTGTGACTTATTTTGTTTACTATCATTACAAGTTTATAACAGTACCAAAGTTTCTGCAACTCCATCATTTACATAATGGAAGTTATAAAACTATACATTAAGCCTTGCAAACAGGATATATATGGAGCTAATGATGAGGCAGTTAAATTTGTCGACAACTCCTACAGCTAAAGCTTTCCCCACTAATAAATCAACGCATAGGGAGTTGCTTCCTTGCGATCATGATTCATAAAAGTCCAAGCTTTCCGCGGAAGATCGGCTCCATTTCACGACAAACATTCTCTAATTCACAATGACACATATGTTCTTAGACCACTTTTATCTTCTTCTCCCTACAATTTTTTCATAACATTGTTTCCCTCCTATATCATAATGAGAGAACACGTGTATTGAATCCTTTGTCCTTCTTCTTTCTCTATTAGTCTTTCAATAATTCATGCTTGGAATCAAATACAAACACAAATTCTATAGTTCCCACAACCACAATTGCCATTTTTTCCTTCAAAATTTGGACCTCATCAATCCAACATTAATTTATCTCCCAACCTAACACGTTATCCATTGAGTGAGCTTTTAACATTAGTTTATTAACTCTAGTGCTCCTCCTTACACGTTAGAGTCAGCAAACACAGAGAAAAGCATACCATCAACAAACCAAAAGAAACAAAAATAATTTTGTTCCAGATCCATCGCATCGAAACAAACCAAAAAAAATGATAAAGAAGAGGCGACTCGAGAGAAAGAAAGGCTCGAGGGCGAGAAGCAAAAGTTGCTGGAACGTTTTCAAAAACTATATATAGAAAGGAAAGCATCTGCAATTCAAGAGATTGATGATCGTTAAGGATATAATTTATGCATCTAAATGTCGAGTATGGATTTCGTTAACTAACCTAATTTGCATAGAGCAAACTACTAGCTTGGTATATATTTTTATCTACGAATCATATACAAAGCTTATCACTAAATGCATATAAAGATACTATCTTCTCCTAATGCATGAAGTTCAATGCTCACTTACTTTGTAAACAGGAAAAATAAGAGAGTGAAAAACATAAAAAGAAAGAGAGTACGTAAGAGAGAGAAAAAAAATATGTGTTGGAATACTTAATTTCCGGTCTAACTATTCTCAAGCTTTCAAACTTTAACTTAAAAATAGATGGGCTGGCTCGTGACATTTTAGAAACTCCTAGAGAAAGCTCTAAACACATATCATATAAAAAGTAATTTTCTCTCCGGTTGATGTGATTGTTCCTATAAACCCATCGATTGAGTCTGTATTGTGGTCCCTCATCACCCACATATAACACAATTTCATCCAACTCCTTGTTAATAATCCTTCCTAATGCCTTTATAACGTTCAATACGTGTTCATTTTCACTATTTCTGCACATAATCCTAGTTTTTTCCCTTTAAGATCAGTATGGTACCTAGAGTCCAGTTTGTAAATTCCTATTTCTTCAGTGGGAATGTTCATAGCATTCACTGCTATGCCAAACAAAGCATGACTGTTGAACAATATGCCCCAGTCAGCAGTTGAAAGCCAATTTTTGTTGACATTTCTATGACAGCATCCACTTCATGAATATTTCAGAATTGTTGTCGTATGTTTACAACTTGGAAAAAAACCAAATGTAATATTAATATTAACATGTCATTATCATTATTCAACATATCTCTTAACATTCTATAAGTTATCGATGATAAACTAACCTCAAAAAAAAAAAAAAACCAAACCAAATAATAACATTAACATTTTATTATCATCATCCAAC